TTGAGATGGAATCTTGCACTGTCACCCAGGCTGGAGTGCAGTGGCGCGATCTGGGCTTACTGCAACCTCTACCTCCCAAGTTCAAGTGATTCTCCTGCCTCAGCCTCCCGAATAGCTGGGATTATAGGTGCCCGCCACCATGCTCGGCTAACTTTTTTTTTTGCATTTTTAGTAGAGACAGGGTTTCACTATGTTGGCAAGGCCGGTCTCAAACTCCTGACATTGTGATCCATCCGCTTCAACCTCCCAGAGTGCTGGGATTACAGGCATGAGCCACCGCGCCTGGCCTAATTTTTTTTTTTAATTGTAGAGACAGGGTCTCATCAAGCTGCCCAGGCTTAACTCCTGGGCTCAAGCAATCCTCCTGCCTCAGCCTCCCAAAGTGCTGTGATTATAGGCGTGAGCCACTATGCCTGGCCTCTTCCTGTATTTCTAAGGGACTGCCAAGTGCATGAATCTTAATGTGGAATTTCAATTTCTACTTTTCTATTTGGAGGAAAACTGGTATGGAAAGTCTGCCAGATCTTATGTTCAAAAGGTTAAGGTTCAGACAATCAATTTCCTGTCAACCATCATTTTCATAAACCATTCCCCCAACTTTCAGCCTCCCAGGCCATTCACACAACAACTGAACATAGGTTCACTCTTCCCCACAAGTAAGATATCTGAATCACCTCAATTTTCCCAAGTTTGACACTCTGAACATCTAGTTTATCTTTTTCTTGTTTTTCTTTTGTTTCTGAGAGGAAGTCTTGCTCTGTCGCCTAGGCTGGAGTGCAGTGGCGCATTCTTGGCTGACGGCAACCTCTCCCTCCCAGGTTCAAGCGATTCTCCTGCCTCAGCCTCCCAAGTAGCTCGAATTACAGGTACCCGCCACCATGTCTGGCTAATTTTTGTATTTTTAGTGGAGACAGGGTTTCACAATGTGGGCAGAGCTGGTCTCGAACACCTGACCTTGTGATCTACCTGCCTCAGCCTCCCAAAGCACTGGGATTATAGGCATGAGCCTTAGCGCCTGGCCTATCTTTTTTTTTTTAAGAGATGGGTCTCTCTCTGTCATCCAGGCTGGAGTACAGTCATCAGTCATGTGCAGTCACAATACCCTGCAGCCACTAACTCCTCGGCTCCAGTGGTCCTCTTGCCTCAGCCTCGCAGGCAGTTGAAACTAAGGGCATGCGCCACCATACCTGGCTACTTCATCTTCACTGGCCTGTGAGCTCCAATAGGGCACAGACTGTGTTACTGGATTTCTATGGATTTCCTGATCCTGGCACAGTGACTGGCAAACACAGTAATTCAGAGAATATCCAGTGAGTGACTGCTTGCATGCATGTACTAGACGAGCAGGAAAAGAAATCTGGTGTCAATGAGCAGATGGGTTGGTAAATGTTGAGTCCTTTTCATATCAGTATACCCTATCTATCTTTCCCTATAAACTCCTTGGAAGCACAAACTGAGTGTTTTTCAATTCTTTTATCCATTCCCTCTTAATAAATTACTGATTTATGAATAATGAATAACTGAATAAATGAATCCTCATTAGCCCAACCATATTACAATCTCAGGTCTCTCAAAACCCCCCAATACAAGCACCAAAGCTGTTTTTAAAGAAAGTTCAGCCCCCCAAAAAACACTTGCAGAAATCCATGTTGGCACGTTTACAACGTTCAAAGAACACCACCAATACCAAGTAGCAGAGAAAACAAATAGCTTTGAGGCAAATGCAGATTGGGGAAACTGTGATCTATAGGAAGCCTGGCCAAGCCATAGGAAATGGGGGATGACAGCCAGGGTGGCAGTAGCCAAAACTTGTGGATAATTCACGGTCCAAATTAACCACGCCATTTAAAGGGATTGCATTGAAAGCACTGACAAGGACCAATTCTGTGAGTTTTTTGCCAGATATGTTGAGGCCAGGCCTCTGTGTAGGAAATGCGGTAGAAGAAAATTTTAACACGCATGGCTATACATAGTGGCAAAGGATTGCAAACAGAAGCCAACAGTAGGTAGAGGGAAGCCAGGATTCAGAAGGCAGGGTTTTTCTCTGCTGCAGGGTTCCCTTATAATTAACCAATTAAGGCCATAGCTCCATTTCCCGTGGCAGTTTTCTCTGCCATAGAGAATGAGGTCACAGCCCTAACCACACAGACCTATAAAGCATCTGGGTGATGAAGAATAGCTTTAGATATACTTGAATCACTCCCAAGAGGTGACTGGATACATATGTGGCATTCATAGCCTCAGCAGGAATTCTCAGAAGAATTAAAGTGTACTCTGATACTAGCTTTTAAATCCCTGTTTACATCCTTATCTCAAGGACTCTAAAAAAAATAAATTGAATATAACTGGATCTATTAAGCAACCCTGGAGGCTGGAATAGGTCAAACAGGGCCCCATGGATTCTAAAATAACCAATTCCACTATTATTCAGTAGCACTAAATGTAGTACTGTATGTAAAATGAATTATTTAATATAGAATGTGAAAGAATTATTTAAACTACAAGGAACCATTCAAATTTAACGTATTACTATTATATTTAGATGATGTTTTCTCAGAGAAACCAGAAGTACTCACTGGCTATCAGAGTTCAAATCTAACAAAGAGGAACAGATGTACATTAGCTTGTGGAGGGGGCAGAGGGAAGTTTACCGGATGGGTAGAAAAATCAAATATCAGAGAAGGAAAAGAGGCATTACTGCATTATTCTATGGATCGATTAATTAAAAAGTTATGCATCTGTTGTTTTTATGAAGATTCCACTACCACCACAAAAAGATGACTCTCCCATTCCCCTTTTCCCTTATGCCCTTACGTTTTTCAAGAACTGGAGGTCAGGGGATATTTATGGAAGCACCAAAGCATGAAACAGACGGCCAAGCCTCTTAGTTTACGTGCCTCTTCAGTCGAAAGGTTTTGAAGTGAAAATGTGCAGAAAACAAAGATTAGGACCAACTCTGTGCTGGTTTCCTCCTCCTAAACAGACAGTGGGACCATCAAGAGCTGAGTTTTGTTGTTGTTATTAAGTTGGGGCAGGAGGTATAAGACGACTAAAAGAGCTTCTGCTACAATTCGTGAATGAGTCAGACTTACGCAGCTAAAGAACAGGGGCAGCCCAAAGGCAGAGAGTCAGAAAAGAGGAACCAGAATATTGGAATCACTCAGAGGTAGGCTTCCTGGCTCTTCTGTGTTTCAACTCTTAGACTATAGCTCTTTGTTAACAATCCCCTTAAATGTGTTGAAACAGAAATGATGCAAAGATGAGGTGCCCTGCAGTGCAGACGGGATGTAAGCTCTGCCCTTCACTGAAGGTTGTGACACCCCTTGGCCAAAGGAAAATTCCGACTCAGTTAGGTTGGGACAGCATTTCTGCAGTTTTCCTCCGTGTTAGGAACAAGGCTGGGCAGGGGGGCCAGAAATGGGGAGGGTTCTGTGGCAGGTCAGGCTGCAGAGCTTCTTAATTAGAAACAGGAATTAAGGAAGGAGTCTGTAGTGTAGCTGGAGAAATAAAACCTTATACACGAATTCATGAGAATGGTTATTTCTGGGGAAAAGGCTGGAATGGTGGGAACCAAAGGCGCTGCAGTCCTCCTTGTAATGTTCATATTTAACAAGACAATGTATTCATATGTTGAGTAAAAATTGATTTAAAAAATCTTAAATTTCAGAGAGTCACAGAGGGAAGAAAAAGAGAGATTGAAAGAAAAGGAGGGAGAGAGAAATGAAGAAAGACACAACTAGCAGCATAGGTTTCCCTGGATGCTGGGCTAAGACAACCCGCAGGAGTGGGGCTTAGCTGCAGTGGAAGATATGTGAAGCAAATCTTGAGGGGGAAGCATCTCAAACCAGAATTTCCTGGGTCACAGAAAAGCAATGGAATAAACAGAACTGTGAGAGAAACAAGTGGGGAGGAAATGACCCCTTGTCAGCCCTAGCCCATACTGCCTGTCAGATTGAGGCCCCAGTTCCTCTGCTCTCGAATGGGTGCACATGCTGGCTCCTTGGGACTGGGCCCAGGACCTAGGTCTCCTCTCACTCTGTAGTTCCTCTCAGACAACCATGTCCTTGATTGCAGAGAAATCTACTGCCCCGGACTCAGAAAGAGATTCAGACATGAAGAAGGCACTTCACATGGACCATCTACAGTCCCTTGCCCTCTCAAACTTTCTACCAATGCAGTACCACCCCATCCTCCCTTGGCTCCGCTGATTAGCTCCTGAAATAGATGAGCACTTTTGTCAAATATCCAGGTATTCCCTGAGGATTTCCTTTGGGAGAATCTCTGGGGAGGATGGAGACACCCCCTCTTCTGGAAGGAGGTGATATCTGCATTATGGTCCTGTCCTCTGGGTTCAGGTAAGCTATCAGGGAAGGTCACGGCCCAGCGTAGCTGTGGGCAGGCGGCCCTTCTGATTTCTCCTGGTTCACCCATCTGCACCGCAAGAACCACCTTAGCCCTCTTGGGGTTCTGCGGGCGATTTGCTCTGGGTCCCTAGAGGATGGGGGCAACGGAGGACCCCTTCCGGAGACTGGGCGGGAGACCCTGGGCGAGGGAAGCTGAGGAGTGGGAGGAGCTGGACATTTACCTCATTGAAGCCCTCCTGCAGGACGTCCATTAAGTTCCCTCGGGTCAGGCAGGCTAGCATTGTTCCTACTGGGGGCTCCCGGGCGGGGTCTCCAGCCCAGCGGCCGCAGCTGCCTCCTCCTCCGCCCTCTGCACACAAAGGCTCTCGGCAGCTCAGCTCATTGGGATCCCTCCGGAGTCCCGCATGCCACTTACTGGAAACCTAGACTGGAGCCAAACTAGCGGCTTGCACTGGGCATGCTCGCACGGGGGCCTCTGCTGGAGGGGCCAGGCGCGGTCTCGGTTCCTATGGAAACAGCTGGGCGCGCTCTGGGTGGAGCAGCGCTGCAGGGCTGCCCCCAGCCCCGCTACCATGCGGGAAAGCCCCGCAGGCAAGCGGGCTGGCGAGAGCGCGCGCTGTACGCATGCACGCACGCGCGCACACACCCCCCGGGCCGCTGCGCGGGCGTGTGTGCCTGCGCTACACACACACACACACACGCACACAAACACACACACACGCACACACACGTTGACCAACAGGCGGACACACACACACGCACACACACACTCGTTGACCAACAGGCAGACACATACACACACACGTTGACCAACGGGCGGACACACATACACACACACACACACACACACACACACACACACACGTTGACCAAGAGGCGGCCGGGCTGGCGTATGTATACACTCGCAGCCACACGCCCGCGCACACACACACCACACCAGGCTTGCAAGTGGGTGTGCCCTGGGGGAGAGCGCGCAACACACACACGAACACACACAGGCACGCATACACTGCTATTTTAAGGCCACAAACACCCTACCAGAAGGTGGGTAGGAAAGGGCGTGAATCATAGGATTTTCCCCCAGACTAACCGAAAACCGCAATCTTTTTCCACATGGGTCCTGGACAGTGAGGTCAACCTAAGGAAGACGAAACAAGGGAAAGAAAGAAGAAAGAGAAGAAGGAGCAGAGGAAGAAAGGGGAAAAGGGGATAGAAATAACTTTAGTTATTGGTGGTATTCAATAGAATACATTCAATAGAACAGTGCTAAACATCACACAGGATCACAACAGAAACATCAAGGATGACCAGGTCTTTTCCAAAATTTTTCTTCTTTCATTCTTTATAAAATAACTGCTAAATTGTACAACCCCTATTCTATTGTGTTTTAAAATAAATGGGTTTTAATTAAAGACTGTAAAAATGTCCTGGTGCATTTGAAAGAGGTAAAAAGCTTCCTCAAGTGAAACAGAAAGCTATTTTACGCTGTTTCTAACTATTCAAGTCATAGCCTTGATTATTTATTTTTAGGAATCCTAGTCATTTGGAACTCAGTGCAAATTCTTGTTTCTACGGGAAAACTTGACGCTGAAAAAACTTTCATTTTACATTCCACCTCATGATCCCAGATGGAGAGGAAGGGTTTACAGAGCATTAGGGCTCAGAGAAGGTCAGGGCCTTGTCCAAGGACACAGCCAATCAGTGGCAGGCGGCTCAAGGAGCTAGGAGTCTACAGTCATGATTTTCCGGAAAGTGCAGATTCCTCAAACCCTGATTAGTACCTTAGCAAGAAAAGTCAGTAATGGCTCTTATTCAACCTAATGACCCCCTCAGGTCCTTAGAGAAAAAGAAAATCCTTACCAAGAGGAGCAAGATTAGCAATATCTTGTCTGAATCTCTAAAGCTGCTAAACACAAAGATGTTTCTGAAAAAGAACACATCTCCCTCTGACCACAACAGGCAGAGGGGGCAGAGGGTCAGCACAGGTGTTGAGCTGTAGCTGCTGGCTGAATGCAGTGGGTTCTATTCTGGATGATGCTAGGGAAAAGGTAAGACACCAAATCATTCTAAACCTGAGCAGCCCACAAGTCCGAAGACCTCTGTCCTTCATAATCTCGCTGAGGAAGGTAACTGCCAAGAACTCCCTTTGGCACTACCACACTTCATGGTGTAACACCCCTGGAAGAGTCACTAACCCATGTCAAGCCAACAAGTTCTTTTATAAAGAAAAGCATGAAATTTCCAACAGCACAGACTTGCATGCAACACATCTACATGCATAATAATGCAAAACCAAAATACCTAGTTGGTGGATCCCTGGGTAGAGAATTCTGATTGGTTGAGAGCTCCTCATGCTTTGTACACAGAGCAGAAAATATTGAGACATCAGAGGGAGGTCCTGCTGACAGTTTTCTATGCCAGAGGTCAGTGTTTCTCAAACAATAAGTCTTTGATCAAAGTAGGATCTGTGAGCTCAGTGGTTTAAAAAAGACTTACAAAATCACTGAATTTTAAAGCTCCAAAACATTTTGGCCCAACTTCCTTACTTGGCCCAACTCCCTTGTATCACAGAAGAAGGCAGCAAGGCTAGGAGAGGTGCTCAGTTACTCAGCAAGTTAATATGGAAGAGAAGATGTGAACTAGAGGCCTCAAGTCTGGCCCTGTGCTTTTTGCACTGCCCATCATAGCATGCTGGAGGAATTAAGAGAGACCTGTAGTGAATATATATTTTTAAAATGTATTATAAGGCATATGCTCCCATATTACACTATTCCCTAAAACTCTGTAACTATACAAACCACATATTCTAGAGCAATGGTATTTACTAGAACTGCCTGTGAAGATGGAAATGTTCTATATCTATGCTGTACAGTACAGTGGCCACACGTGGCTATTGAGCACTTGAACTACAGCTAATGCAATTGTGAAACCAAAATTTTAATGGCATTTAAGTTTGATTTAACTAGTACAATTTCAAAATATTCATTCTTCTGTCCCCATAGACTATTAAGATATGTTCTAAAAATTATACTATTTTACATACAATCTGCCTCACACATTTGGAAAAGGCATAAAATTCCTGTCAGACCACATAATGTCCTTTTTTTTTTTTTTTTTGGCTCAGAAGAGATGTTCACCACAGTTATCTTAGTTGGCCTTACAAAGTGGTTCAGGTGAAGAACTGAGTTTTAGCTCCAAGCAACAGTAACATTGACCATTCCTTCCATCCTCCTGATCCTACCATGTTGTAATATCAACATAAGAGCTGGGAGAGTATGTCGGCTAGTTACAAGAATACAAGAACTAGGAATAATTGGGACAGTGATCAGACATTCCATGGTGTTTGTATGTGGGAAAACTGCAAGCCGTCTGGGTAGCTGGAACCACTCCCACTCCTGCAGGCCAGTAATTCACTCTGCCCGGAAGCAGAAGCAAAGAACCCAGGACTGCTTTCTGCATATCTCTGCCACGCTGCCTGATTTCTGAACTTAACCTGGCTTCTTCAGTCCTGCATTATTTTGACAATAATGGCAGACACTTCTCCCATAAACTAAAAGCTACCCAAATATCTATATACAACAGTAATAATAGCAAAATTGAGCTTTTACCATGTGCCACACCCTGTACTCAGCAGTTAGTAGATTAGCTGATTTGACTATCACAATTACCATAAACAGTAGGTTTTTTACATATAAAGAAAGAGAGGTTTGGAGAAGTAATTTGTCACAGACCCAATAGCTACTATATGGTGAAGCCAAAGTCCAGGTTCTTAACCATTATGCAATACTTTCATATGAGCTTGCAACATAGAAGGTACTCAGTATATATTTTTTCTTGAATGAATGAATGAGCCAGTGGAGGAAACATTCATCACTTCTGTTAATAAATAGAGTAGGCCGGTGCGGTGGCTCACGCCTGTAATCCCAGCACTTTGGGAGGC